CGCCAGAAGAGGCCAAACAGAAAGAACTGGAGAGAGGAAGAGCTGATCTGCCCAGCTAGAGATTAAGTGAGCTCTTCTGGGAACAGAGATACCCTTGGGGTAAAAAGTCTCCTGGGTACCCGCGGGCCCTGCCACACTATGGTGGAGGCACCCACTCCCCAGAGCCTGACCATTGCCAAGTTCCCCTCACCAAATTGTCCCTCCCCCCAGATGCAGGGCTGATGGGTAGCACCCAGGTGAGGGTGGGGCCTACGGAACTCAAGCCTGGCCTCTCCTTCCCACGGGGCCACTCTTCCAACCCTTGGCAAATGGGTAACCCCCAAAGGTCTTTAAGCTTCCATTCCGGGCTGTGCTCAGGACCTGCATCAGGGTCTTGCCCCCACTGAGATGTGGCCTCTCTGGCCAGTCACCTACTGGACGCACCATGATGCTGCCAGTGCAGGGTGGGGATAGCCATGCCCTGTCCCAAGATGCTGTGCGGTGTGTGCACCTGACCTCCCCTCCCCTGTCCCGGGTCTGTGATCGGGGTCCTGCCAGCCACCAAAGACAGCCACAGTCTTCGAGCAGGGCCAGAGAGGGGAGGCGGAACGGGGCTGGAGGTGCTAATGGGCAGGGGGCCAGGTGGCACATGTGAGCTGAGGCCAAGTTCCTGGCGCATATCCCCTTGTCCCATCAGACTTCACTTACAAAACACAAATTCAAAGATAAAATTATTAAGAATTTCGAGACAGTGATAGTGGAGCATAAAATGCAAAGTGTGGGACCCATCTGAGCATAGGGTCCTGAGTCGGGGTGCTGGCTGTGCTCCCAGAAGCCAGCCCTGGAGGGAGGAGAGGTTGTCACTCTGAACAAATGTTCCCGGAAGGCTTTGTTAAAAAGATGATGTCTGAGCAAAGACTTGAAGAATGAAAAGGAATGAACCACTCAGATTTCAGAGGGAAGGGTGTTACAGGCAGAGGGAACAGTACGTATGAAGGCCCTGGTTTGGGCACGTGCCTAATGTATCCAGGGGGCAGCCAAGAGGCCCATGCGGCTGGAGTGGAGGGGTTAGGGGCCAGTTGTGCAAGGCCCTGGGGGACAGTTAAGGGATTGGGGCTTTTGGTCTGAGAGAAAGGGGGAGCCAAGGAAGGGTTTTCTATAGAGGAGTGACATGATCAGATTTAGGTTTCCAAGGGGCTCCTGCTGGGTTAAGCCTAGACTGAAGGAAGCAGGGAAATAAGCCAAGGGCTACGGCAATAACCCGGGAGAGGGATGACGGTGGCTTGGACCACCAGCCTTTAAGGATGGGTGGTCAGAACCTGGGTATTTAGTAACATTCTAACATATTTATTCAGCCCCCGGTACACCACCTACGGCCAAGGCTCAGGGGGTTAATGAAGCAGGAGACACCAGGTTCCAGCTGTTGTGGAGCTTTCCAGTGAGGTAGAAACAGATGATAAACCAAAACAGAAGGGCCTCTCTGACATGTCATTTCAGCTGAAATCTGAGCGACATAAGGAGCCACCGTGAGATCGGGGAAAATCATTCCAAGTAGAGGACACAGCATGTGCTTTAGTCAGCTCAGGCTGCCATAACAGAATACTGCAGACTGGGTGGCTTAAACGGAAATTTATTATTATTTTTCCCCAGGTTTGAAGGCTGGGAAGTCCAAGATCAAGGTGCCCGCCAATTCAGTTCCTGGTGAGTGCTCTCTTCCTGACTTGCAGACGGCCAACCTTTTTTGCTATGTCTTTGCATAGCCTTTCCACAGCACCTACAAGTGATCTCTTTCTTTCCTATTTTTAAAAAATGTTTAATTTTTTGAGAGAGAGAGCTAGAGCAGGGGATAGGCAGAGATGGAGGGGACAGAGAATCCAAAGTGGATTCCACACTGGCAGCAGAGAGCCCGACGTGGGGCTTGAACCCACGAACCTGTGAGATCACGACCTGAGCCGAAATCAAGAGTCAGACACTCAACTGACTGAGCCACCCAGATGCCCCTCTTTCCTCTTCTTATAAGGCCACCAATCCTATCAGATTAGTTCCCCACACTCTTGACTTCACTTAACCATCCTTGCCCCCTAAAAGCCCTAGGTCCACATACAACCACATTGGGGGGCTTCAATAGGCTCAACTTATGAGTTGAGGTTGGGGAGAGACAGTTCAGTCCAAAGAACCCTGAGTTGGCAAATGAGCTTGGCCAATCCGAGGCAAGGCAAAGAGAAGGCCAGTGGGCACGGGGGGAGAATGTTTCAGACACAGGTGGGCAAGGCGGGCAGCAGGCAGCTCACACAGCCTTACAAAGTAGGCCAGGAAATCTGGATTCTACTCTAAGGGCTGACCATTTCTGAGCACTCCCTATGTGCCAGGCACATGCTAACGACCCTACGGGCATCATCTCATTTAACTGTCACAGTCATCCTAAGAGGTAGATGTTCTCTCTGCCGATTTCACAGTAAGGAGACCGAAGCCTGAGCAGCAGTGTTCGCAGAAAGGAGGCGCCCTGTGCTTGCCTGTCGTGGTGCTCAGCCCTGCCAGGGGAGGAGTACAGAGCAGCCCTTAGCTGAGCCCCTGGAATGGGCCCTCCAGACTGGGTGGCCTCAGAAGCAGACATTGGATTCCATCCAACGGAGGCATATTGAGCATCTGATCCTGGTGAGGGGTTCCTCAGTGTGAATCAGCCACAGTCCGGGCGAGTTAGGACAGGGCTTCTCAAAGTGAGGTTCTCAGTCTTCTATATCCAAATGTCCTGGGGCACAGATTCCTGCCCCACCAGCAGCTAGTAGCTAGGAAAGCTCAGAGGGTGTTGCCAGGAGTTTGCATCTTAAACAGGTGTCCCCACGGGAACCTCTGCTGCAGGGGGAGGGGCAGGCAGCTGGGCAAGCAGCTGGCGAAGGGGGCACAGGAGACAGGCATCAGCTGCACCTGCAGAGGGGCCTGAAGCCTTCTGCTGGTGAATGACTTCTTGAAGTAATGTTGCAGCCGGGCGTTGAAGGAGGTGGAAAGTGGGGAGGGAGGGAGAGGGCATTCCAAATGGAGGCACCTGCACAGGCAAAGACTTGGGGGCTGGGCACAACCAGAGGAAAAGGGGAGAGGGGGAGGGTGAGAGGAGGTTGTGCACCAGCTTTCTTCGCTCCCCACTGGGACCAAAGGACAAAGTGACCAAGGTTAGCTTCGTCAGCCTGCAACAGCTGTGGGGACAGCTTTATTGCAGAGGCCCCTGCTGGCTGCACAGGCAGAGCCCCCTTTGCCCAGGCCCCCGGAGAGTTCTTCCTGCTGAGGGAGGAGGTGGATGGGCGGATTTCACAGAGAACAAAGGGGCTCGAGGCTTGGGGGAGGGGATGAGCGAGGACCTCCGTGTGGAGCATGGTGACCCATGGCCCTTCCCTGGGTGGCCCTCAATGGGTTGGCTGGGCAGAGGGGACAGGAGGCGGCCTGCTACGGGCCCCAGAGCAGTCACACCCAGAGGGGTGCTGGAGCTAGGTGCTGGAGCTGGTGGGCTCACAAGAGCAGACTGTAAAAATATTCAGGAACTTTGTAAGCCGGTCGTTAAATTTTGGTAACTTGAAATTGGCCTTGATGGGTGTTTACACAGCATGGAAATTGGCAAAAAATCAAGGATTTTTTTTTTTTTTTTTTTTTTTTTTTTTTTTTTTAATTCTTCCACGGAGCTGGTTAATCAGCACTTCACTGACAAGGGAGCCACAGCCACTAGCATCATGGGGCGGGCGGCAGCCAGAGACCCTTATCCAAAACACACCCTCCTGTGCAGGGCACAAGAAACAGCCAGGTACATCAGACACACTCAAGTGTCCCTGCTCTCAAGGAGCAACCGGTCTGTAGGGAGGCAGCAACAACAACAAAAAAACCACAACCTGGGATGTTCTCAACCAGGGAAATAATGCTAACAACAGCTGCTATATCTTGAGTCCCTCCTACGGGTCATGGTGCTGGGAACTTCTCCATCATCTCCGCTCCTCACGGCCGATCCCACTACACAGATGGGAAAAACGAAGCTCGACAAAGTCACCTGCCCGGGATCACACGGCTGGCAAAGTCACGTCCAAAAGCCACACCGTTCTCCCTCGAGCTTGTGTGAAGTTCCTTAACCGCTGCAGCGCCCTGCCTCCACACACCATGCTGCATGCCTGGGGCAGGTGCAGGGCTGGCAGTGGGAAAGGCTTCCCAAGAGTGGTGACATTCAGTCTGGGCTTTAAAGGATGAATAAGAATTTGCCGGTTTTAGGGCGCCAAGAAAGGCATTCCAGATGGGAGGAGAAGCCCAGGAGAAGGCATGGAGGAGTAAGAGGGCATGGGAAGTTTGGGGGAAGAGAGAACACGGTTGGATTACAAGGTTACATCATGGGGAAGCAGGCAAGATGGGAAGGTAGGTGGGACTTTAGTGAGAGGGGCCTTGAATGCCAGGCTAAGAGATGTGGTCTTTTATCCTAAAGGCTTGGGGGTCACGGAAGTGGAAGGTCCTGGGACCCATATCCGAGAACTATGTAAGTATTTCGGCGAGATTGCTACTCTATCCGTTTTTACAAATTGCCCTGGAGCAAATGCTTCTCAAACCATCTGTGGAGAAGAACCATTTTTTAAAAAATTTCTAATCTGTCCCAGACCAATACTTTTGTAAAATACAAGGAAAAAATGAATTGCTAGAAAAATAAAATGAAAAAAAAAATACCAGCCATTTGTTTTTATTATGAGATTCAAGACCTACAATTACTCTATCGGATTGTGCTACAAGTTTTCAACCCTTAGTTTCTGCGTTCACTTTGATAGAAAAGAGCTGGTCCAGGCAGTCTCTGTTATAGGCACACATCTAGGACAAATAAGGGTTCTCCTCGTGAGAGTGAAGCACTGCCAAACAAATGCTATTTTGGAGATGAGGAATCTGTCGTCCAGAGAAGGTAAAGTGGCCTGCCCAAGATCACATAGCTGGTGAGAGGCAGGGCTAGGATTTAAACCCAGGGCTGTCTGCCTTATTGAGGCTGTCTGCCTCAATCCACCTGCCAGGTGCAGCCCAGACCCTCTCGGCAGAGCCCTCCGGCCTGGCCCTGTAGCCTTGTCCCTGCTCTTAACACAAGGTCAAGAGCCCTGCAGTGGGGGGAAATGGCACCATTGTAAGAAGGGAACTTCCTTGCCCAGGGTCCCACGCCCGAGGTTGGCGGAAGCAGCCAGCCTCCGGGTCTCCTGATACAAGTCTGTCCTCAGTGTCGCCACTCCGCCTGCTTCTGTGCCTGTGCACTGACCTCTAGGCCAGACAGTGCCAAGGAGGGCAAGGGAGGGAGGGGCACGAGGAGGCAGGGGACTCACCAATTGCTGGCAATTACACAGTGCTTTGTCATTCTTAATTAGCTCAGCGGATCCATAGGCAAAGACCTCCCCGTGGAAGCAGAAGACAGCCGCTGGTGCTACCCAGGGGGGGCAGACTGGGGGGGTAGGGGTCCCCCAGGAGCACTTTCCCCAGCGCGTTTAGGTGCTGCTGCTTCTCCAACTGCAGAGGGCCACCCACTTGCTGGGCACATGCTGAGCACCAGAAGAGAGAACTTAAGTCGAGTCCTTAGATGCGTACTGGCCACCGCCTCGGTGCCAGGCACTGGTCAGCTGCTCCAGGGAACCCTGGGGTGAATGATGATTTCCAGCCCCCAGGCTTGAGACATACCCCGCTGCTGGGGGAAGCAAACAGGTTCAGCCATAAAACATGAATGACAACCAGAGTTACCATTTACTAAGCACCTGCCACATGGCAGGCACTAGGCCAAGCGTTTCCCACATATTATCCAATAGAAGCCTTACAAAGCCCTCTAAGGTGGGTATTAGTCCCGCTGTACAGATGAGGAAACTGAAGTCCGTTAGCTAGGATTGCATATATATATATACATACATATATATATGCAATCATATATATATATGTATGTATATATATATATATATATATATATATATACGGAGGAGAAGTTGGTTTTAAAGTTTTTGTTTGTTTGATAGAGTGAGTGGGGGAGGGCCAGAGAGTAAGAGGGAGAGAGAGAATCTCCAAGCAAGCTTCTCAATCTTATCGTGGAGCCTGACGTGGGGCTCAAACTCACAAACTGTGAGATCATGACCTGAGCTGAAACCAAGAGTCGGATGCTCAACTGACTGAGCCACCCAGGCGCCCCTGGAGGATTTGGTTCAGAGCCCAAGTATGTAGAACTCCAAGGTCAAACAGTTGACTAGGGGAGAGAGAAAGAGTGAGAGCCTGGGCGCGCGAGAAGAAGAAGCTTGTGAGGGAAGACAAGTGTGTGGGTAGCTACGACTGGGTATTGGGGAGGAGGCCAACTAGACTTTCAGGGCAAAGGTGGGTAGGCTGGGAGAGTTGAGGAGGCCATCTGGCTGGATGTTTCTGGAAGAGGAAGCATCATGAGAAGGGTCTGAGGAGGGAAGGGTTCAGAACAAATTGGTTAGTGTTGCTGGATCAGTGGGACACAGGAGGCAGGTCAGGTGAAAAGTCAGAACCAAGTCTCAGGAGGAAGGTCTGGGCTCCTGACTCATCAGTAACCCAAGTTCCCTCCGATTCCCTGAGAGAGGGCTGTCTCAGACCTGGGCCTGAGGTGGAGGGGGATGTCCTACCTCTCCAGTCGGGAGAGGGGGTGGGGGCTCTGGGGTGAGGCTGGACGACCCGCAGCTCGGACTGGGCCAGGTCCCAAACCCAAGAGGGCTCCCTTCCCTGGGGGCCAGTCAAGAACCATGATGAGAACAATCATTCCACCTTTACTATTCAGCCAGTCAGGAGAGTGACCGATTTTATTAAAATACACAATATATATAGCACTCATTATAGGCCAGGCATAATTCTAAATACGTTCCAAACTTTAACTCTTTTAATCCCTACACTAATCCATGAGGTATAATCCCCACTTTACAGATGAGGAAACTGAAGTCCGTGGAATTTAAGTGACTTACTTAAGGTCACGAAGTAAAGAAGCGGGGGAGACAGGATCCCGGGCGCCAGTATCCATGTGTTTAACTACTGTGCTCTGCTGGTGGGGGAAAAGAAAATACACTCTGCTGTAAAGACTCCCATTTTACAGATGGAAAAACTAAGGCCAAGCCAGGTAAAGGGACTGGCTCGATCACTGGAGGAAATCGGGGCTCCTGATCGTAGGCTAGGCTTCTGTCTTGGTCCCAGTGCAAGTCCGAGTGATAGCTGGAGAGAAGCTGAGAGCCCTCCCAACCCCTGGCACCCACTATCTCATCTGGGGTCCCCAAAGGGCCCAGGGCAGAGAAAACAGTAAGATTATAATCCTGGCACCCTTTTCCTAAAGACAAGAGCCAGTTATAACCACAGGTAGCTTCTCCCTCCCTTTTATTTATTTTCTTTCTCTCTTTTTTTTTAAAGTTTATTTATTTATTTTGAGAGACAGAGAGTGACCAGGGAGGGGCAGAGGGAGACGGAGAGAAAATCCCAAGTAGGCGCTACACTGTCAGTGTGGAGACCTACTCAGGGCTTGAACCCAGGAATCGGGAGATTGTGACCTGAGCTGAAATCAAGAGTCAGATGCTTAACCGACTGAGCCACCCAGGAGCTTCTATTTTTCTTTCTGATTGCTAAAGGCTATATGACCACTGCAAAAATTTTTACAAAGTTAGATCAGAGGAGCAAAAAGAAAAGAATAAAAAACATCACCTTAAAACCCCTCCTTGAATACCGGTATTTTTTCAAGACTTCTCTGCTCCCTCTCGGTTTTTATAAGCATCCAAGCTGTGAAGCAAGAGACTTGGCTTCCGATGCTGGCTTGCTGTGTGTCCTTGGGCAAGTCCCTGCCCTTCCCTAGGCCTCAGGCTCCTTACCTGCGAAATGAGGGTTTGGACACGGTGACCTCAGAGGAGGCCCCTTGCCGCTCTGACCTTCTGTTTCTGCTTCTGTTCCTGGATTGGCAGAAGGGGCACGAGCCGGCTGCCCCTCTGCGGGGGATTCATGGCTGACAGCTCCCAGCAAGCCACCTCCGGGACGATGCGATGGCCCTGGAAACAGCCTTCCCTGCAGTCTCAGCGTTCCCAGGCCCGCCTGCTCGCTAGGCCCATATGGTGCCCCCTGCCAGCTGGACACCACCAGCTGCCCTTCACCTGCCAGCCCTGGGTGACTGCTTTTCCTTCAGGCTCCAGAATGCTCTCTCTGCTGCCCCGGAACCTAGCTGGCTCAGGGTAAGAGAGCTGGGGGGCTCTGCCCTAAGGACCTATCTACCCATCGCCACAGCCCTTTGGGGAGAAGACAGCCTCATACGGTAAAAAAGATAGAGGGAGGGAGGGAAGAAGACAGGAAGGAACAGACTGTAATCCAACTCCATTTGGACCCCTTGCTAGGCATTCAGGAATGAATCCGAAAAACGCACTGCCCTTGAAGGATCCAGAGTCTAGTGGAGGCAACAAGAGTAGAAACAGGCAGCAGAAACACTTGCAATGCTGAGAGCTCAGGCCTGTGAGATCCCAAAGGGAGAAGCCTACTAGATAGCAGTCAGGGAAGGCTTTCTGGAGGAGGCAACTTCATAGGTCAGTGCTCAAGAACAGGTGTCTGCCTTTCCAACTCAAGTTTTTAATTCTTACCGGCAGCCCTGTGGAATAGGTGTTGTTGCCCCTTTTACAGATGATGCTCGGAAAGGTGAGTTCACAACCACCAAATGAAGAAAAGCCAGGTTCAAATCCCCATGAGCCTGGGACAGAATGAGACAGAATGGCTGAAAAAGCACTTGGTTTATACTCTGAGAGAGGAATGTCAGTGGGGCCTCACTACCCAGCTGGGGATAGCACAGCCCCATTTCCCCCCCAACACAGGAACAGGACTCCTGTCTTCTGTGCGAGGAGCAGTCCTAGAGGCTGAAGTTCACCTTGCTGAAGCATCCCCATCTAGAAGGAGCAAGGCTGTGGCATGAAGACAAGTGCTCTCTTTTGACTCCCTTCCGCAAAGCGTAACGGGAAGGCATAGGATCCTAGAGAGAATCCTAAATCCTGGCCTTAGAACATCTGTTCTTGAGGAATTCTAGAATCCACACTCCCCTCAAAATGCCTCCTAGTAACCATGGCAGGGTCTGGGTCAAGGTCATGCAGCACCTGGCCCTTCCAGGTCGGAAGGATGGCTAGAAATAGGATCCCATTTCCTTTGACAGATAAAGATGAAGACATAGTGGGGGGG